AAGGGAGAAGAGTAGTAGGACAGCTGATAGGCTGATAGCTATTACTAAAAATATGTGCTTGTCTGCACTTCGGGCTGTTCCATCATATGCAACCTCTATTTACTTCCTTGCGTTAGAAACACCCCATCTTTTGTTTCTTTCCTGTGCGCGCATTGTTTCCGTGGTGCTATAAACGTCAATCAGTCAAGTTTGAAGTTGGTATCCAAGTGAGCAAAATTTGCATTATTTCAGGCCGTCTTGAATCATTCGTCTTGAATTATATCCCTAACTGACATCCTGTTATTTGTCCTGCAATGTCTGTGCCTGTGTCCGCCCTTACCTCCGGCTCCAGCCTCCAACCAGGCCTGCTGAGCTCTGTCGCCGGCGCGGTGTGTCGCAACGTGCTGTTTCTCCACTCCACCCGACAGCTGCTAGGAATCATCCTGTGCCATGCGCCATGCGACACAGCGATTGTAAGCTGCAGGTCACATTCGGAATGATTGGCTCCGCGTATGTGCATCCGGCCGGGTGCTAGTCGATATCAGGGACGTGGGTCGGACTGTTGTGGCGGCGTGCACTGTGTTGGTTGAAGTTGTTGTATTTCTGTTAGTGAAAAGCATTAATACATAACCGTGGCCGCAGCCCAATGTTTTTGTGGATTTCAGAGGGAGTGGCCAGTCAGGAGGGCCCCATGTGGGTATAGATCCAGTGTCCAGTGGGATTGGATAAAATTTCCGGCGATTGATAAACGCTTCTATGATAGTAAACCTATTGAGTTATGAGGGGAGGTCACGTGAGGGACCTGACCTTACTAAACTCTTGTGAAAACACGACACATACGAACGGTAAGAAACCGGCAGCTCTTCTTTCTGCCAAGTGTCATCTTTCTGTGAAGGATTTCTTGGCACTGAGTGTCCAGAAATTGCGTTGCTTTTGGACTGTGTAGAGGCTCACGAGCGATAACATAGGTCAACAACCTGACGTACCTTAAATATGCGACTTGTACCAGAAGATCCAGCTTGATCAAAAGATTGTACATGTCAAATTTCAGCTCTTTAGCTCAAAAGAATTTTGAGTTATCGTAAAAACCGTCAGTGTGGCACCGTATCGCCTCCCCACGCGGTCGGAAGGTAAAAGTTCGCCGGCTTTAACTAAACAAATGGTCGTCGTATCGCAAATTCATTGACGGCGTTCGAAGCGTCGTTCAATTTACTTTCGAAACATATCCTAACATTAACATTTATCTGCCTAGCGCAATCTCCAACAAGCAAAAGTTCCGTGCATGCATCCTCATACAGTGTTAGCGGCCGCCGGCCGCCGGCCGCTGACCCACATTCGCGTCATCAGGGAATGCCGCAACTAATTTATTGTTTCCAACTTTTTTCCCGGAGCGTTCTACCTGGTTTATATAGCCTTGCCTAGTACTCTATATACCCAGTGGCGGATCCTGGGGGGGGTCCACGGGGTCATGACCCCCCCCAAAAGGTCTGAGAGGGTCATTTGACCCCCCCCAAAAGCCGAAGACTTAAATGCGGTATAGACGCCGTCTTGCATGCTCAAAATCACCTGCCAAACACTTCTGAGTCAAACACCTTTGTTTTTCTGGATCGTGTTGCGTGAAAAGGCGTATTGAAGGCCAGAATCTTACTCGTTTTTGTCTCAACCGTGCGAGCACCAGGGGATGATCCAGGAAAACTCCAAGGGGATGGTCATGAATTTAATTCGTGGTGCCCCTACCTATACGCAAATTTAAAAACTCAACGGATTTCGGCCACTTAATTTTGGTGATGTCCTATTTCCATTTTTTTATTTTGTTTGTTTTATTTTTAGTGCCCCTGGGCCCTGGCAGGTCAAAATCACGTCGGAGGCGAAAGAAATTCACGGGAATCCCAAAAATCACGTCAGGGCATTCAGGGCCAGCTCTGACCAGCCTGACAGCTAGGGCCCTTCTTACTTCCTGGGGCCTCCTGTGAATAACCGCTAGTGTCTGTGTCTGACCGCTAGGGCCCCTCTGACTCCTCAGTAGGTAGGAGGCCCTCTGTAGAAAGGAGGCCCTCAGTAGAGAGGAGACCCCCTGTAGAGAGGAGGCCCCTTTAGAGAGGAGGCCCTCTGTAGAAAGGAGACCATCTGTAGAGAGAAGGCTCTATGTAGAGAGGAGGCCCTGTGTAGGGAGGAGGCCCTCTGTGGAAAGGAGACCGCCTGAATGCAGAAGGCCCTCTGAAGAGAGGAGACCCGCTGTAGAGAGGAGGCCCTCTGAAGAAAGGAGGCCCTCTGTAGAGAAGGGGCCCTCTGCAGAGAGGAGGCCCTTTGCAGAGATGAGGTCCTTTGCAGAGATGAGGTCCTCTGGCTCTTTGAAGAGAGGAGGCCCTCTGTAAAGGAGGCATTCTGTAGGGGAGAGTGGGGCTATTTGTTACAGGGGTAAGTTGTTACAAAGCAAATATCTTTAAAAATGCTATTGATATCGCACCAATATTTACAATAGCAGAAAGGTTGCGAACGTTTTACATGTCACGCAGGCTCAGACCTGGTGGAACGCCAAGTCGCCCTGTAGGCGCACCGGGGTAAGTTGTGACAGCAAAAGTATTTTTTGCTAGTCAACACTTTGGATCGATCTTTGTCAAAGTTATTCGTGTAAGATTGTTGAATGCATGTTCACAAAATTAAGTGATCATTTCTTTTGTAAGATTATCAAGTGAAAAGCACTAGCCTCTTCGGGAAAACAAACATGTGAATTTAATCGTGTGAAAGTCGGCCGACGCAGGGCCGGGGCATGTTTAAAGATGACTGCACAAAGATATTTGTAGCGTGCACCATTTTACCTGGGCATAAATTTCGTACAGAAAATCAAAGTCCTGTCAGTATGGCAAGGCATTGTGCCCTCGGGTGTCGCAGTAAAGGCAAATAAGAAATTTAACCATATTTGATGAACCTTTTCACGCCTGTGGAGTTCAGTAATGCTTTATGCTTTATTGCCCCTGCCTTCCAATAAGAAGGAAAGCATGTTTAGTGTTACCCATAATGAAGGTTTACGATCGGCTCCGATAGGACGGTCAATGATCGTTATAATGATGAAGAAACTACGGAAAAGAAGTGTAACATGTAACCCCACACTGTGTATCAACTTGCCCCACAATTTTTCAACTTACCCCAAAAATCTTGCTTTGGTTTTCTGCCTTTCACGTAAAAGTAAATTGTCATAAAGAAGTGAAAGTTTGCATGTGCTTTCCAAATTGACTCAGCTAGCATGTGACCAAATTTGGCACAAGTCCATTGAATAGGTTGGCCGCTAAGTAGAGAAAACCAAAAAGTGTAACGCATAGCCCCACTCTCCCCTAGTTAAGAGGCCCTGTGAAAAGAGGAGGCCCGCAGTAGAGATCGGTGGTCCTCTGTAGAGAGGAGGCCCCATCTGTGTTTTGGCAAATGTTTTTGCAAATTTTTCGCGGCGCTTCGCGCCGCCGATTCATGTACATACGTACAGGTCAATACGAAATCGTGACTAATTACATAAACCAACCGTGTCAAATTGAATCAGAATTCATATGTGTACTGTGAAGGAACTCCGGCTTGTACTGTTATGCTAAAAGGGTGGTAAAATTTGTGTTTTGGAGCTGTGTTTTGACACATTCTTTTGCAAATTTTCTCGGCGCTTCGCGCCGCCGATTCATACACCAACCAATAAGAGAGATCGTAACATAACACCGACCGTGTCTTAAATTGAATCGGAATTCATATGTGTACTGTGAAGTAACTCCGGCTTGTACTAGCATGCTAAAAGGGTTGTAATATTTGTGTTTTAGAGCTGTGTTTTGACAACTTTTTTTGTAAAAAAATTTTGCGGCGCTTCGCGCCGCCGATTCATACACAGGTCAATAAGAGAGATCGTGACTGTATGCTACTAATGCATTAGGCTAAAAGTGAGGTAACTATATCTACTTCTGGGTTTTTAAGTCGGTCGATCTGACCCCCCCCCCCCAGTAAAAAATCCGTGGCGACGCTCCTGTATAGGTGGGTTTCACTAACTAAAACTACTGAGCCGAGTGACTTACGATAAAACTTCATCTTAGAAACGACGAAGATCAAATGTCATTTGATCTCGACATACTCGCTCCCTACCCCCCCCCCCCCCCCCCCGGTCGTCAGAATTCATTCATCAGACCTGGCATGTCGGCCGACTGGTGACCCCCCCCAAAACGAACCCCTAGATCCGCCCTTGTATATACCGTGGCCGCCAGTGCGCCGGAGCCCGGAACCTGTGCGTCCAATGTTTTTTGTTGTGCAATTAGAGTTATTGATTTAGATTTTCAAAAGGGCTTATCATTATTTGCTGTGTTTGTAAAGTTGTCATGACCGTTGTAAACTCGTTGTAAACATGACCGTTGTTTAGATGTGGCTATTAAGTGTTATTTGAACTTTGATCACACTGATTGACAAGTTGAAGTGACATAATTTGATTTGGTTTGGTAGGTAAGACAATATATCCCATCTTTTACCCACCATTGCTTCTTTACTTGAATTCAAAGGTTTCAAAGGTAAAGGCTTAAAGTTTTTTTCCAAAGTGATTTCAAAATTAATGTGGAGTTTGAACTGAATAGGCAATAGCAGATTTGTAGCTTAAACTGAGGCTAGCACCAATCCGAAGCTTTGACGCCTGACGACATATCAATATGTAACAATCACTGAAAGTGAACACCCCACATTAACATTAGTTTTGAGTTGAGGTAGCCAAATTGGTGGCCATGGCTTGCGAATACTGGTTTGGGCACCCACAACATCGAAAAATGCCTTACTTCGGAGATAGGGAATTTCAAACCTGCAGTTTTTGGATTCTAAGGGGCTAATGCATTGGAATGCCCCTTAGAATTTGTGATGTCAGCGGAGATCTAATGATTTTTAAATCTTAGACTTAAGCCATTGTTAACGCATGGTGGTATAGGTACGCGGCTTTGTGTGTAACGTCTGCTGCACTTCAAGGCTGCCAAATTATTTCTTCCAAATAAAGTCGCTAGAAACAGGAGAGATCCAAAAAGTAAAAAGTAAAAGTCTAATATCTTGAAAACCAGTGACTATTTTTAGGTGAAATTTTGTGGATATTTGTTTTCGCTTTTTCTGAACAGAACGACATCACTTTCATGCCAATTCATTAACTTTTTTGAAGGTGGGAAGGTATTTTCACTCCAAAAAGTGCCTTGTGCAGGAATGTGGTGACTTGTAGGGATAGGGGCTTGTGCAAGGATGCAGTGTCGTATAAGCCAAAGTTCAGCCAATCATTGTGCGGGCACTGCAGGGCGCAGGCTGTTTTGAACTAGGTACGCAATTAACGTGTTAATTCAACTAAATAACGGAAGCATCAAGCACAGTAAGCTTCGGCGGCGAGCACTAATCAGTACCCATGCAGCATCCACCTTAGATGGGATATAGTTTTTCTACATGAAACTGTTTTAAAATTGCTTTTGTTCAGATAAAATTATTTTCTCTTTTGATTATTTCAAGCTTAAAAATAAAACTAAAGTACTTATAACGTATGTTGATTTAAGTGGTCTATTTCCCTAACGGATGTTTTTGACCTGTCATAATTATGAGCTTAAGGCAGTCCGGTGCCAATATGCATGTCTTATTTTAAGCATCCTTGACCTAGTACCTATCTTCTGTGGCTATTGCTGCTGGGTACACGATCAAAGTAATGTTAGTTCATTTTTGTGTACACCTGTCCCAGCAAACATGCCCACATGGGTCCCATATGGGGTTAACATGGGCCAGATGGGCCCACGTGGGACATGGGCTACAGATGGGCTACCCATATGGGCCCCATATGGGATCAAGATGGGCCAAACGCATGTGGGCTGGAGATGGGCATCCCATGTGGGTCCCATATGGGGTGAACATGGGCCAGATGGGCCCACGTGGGACATGGGCTACAGATGGGCTACCCATATGGGTCCCATGTGGGCGCCGCGTGGGTCCCATATGGGGCCTACGTGGGCTGGCCCATATGGGTCCCACGTGTTACCCACTGCCATTCCCATGTGGGACCCATATGGAAGAGGTGGGGGGCCCATGTGGGCCCCATATGGGAACCATGTGGGCATGTTTGCTGGGGTATGAATTCGCTTTGCCTTTGTTTTTTCTCTTTTTTTTTGTTCAGATGGAAATATGTACTTCAGTTTTATCTGACTTATTGTAACAGTCCAATGGTGTCATTAACTCATTTTCTTTTTACATGCAATTTACATAGGTGGATACACAATTACACATTTGACATGAAGATCTTTATCCTTTTTGAATTATTATTATTGAATTTTTTACTATTACTTTTATCTCTTTTAGAACACAATGGATGCCAACCAGAAGTTTTGTTTGAAATGGAACAACTTCCAAACTAGTGTAACATCTGTGTTTGACAATCTGCGGCAAGATGGAGAACTGGTAGACATAACATTGTGCTGTGAAGGAAGGAAGATAAAGGCCCATAGAATGATGCTGTCTGCATGCAGTCCTTACTTCAGGGATCTGCTTAAGGTTGGTACTTGGTGGGGTACCTAATGGTGATGAAATGGTTAAGTTGACTTCATGTAATTAGGCATTGAATATACAACAGGCTGATCTTAGTGATCCTAAAGCTTTCGAGCGCTATATTAGCATTTTTTCTGGTGATGTGAATGCAATTACCTAGAATGATGTGCTCTCTCTGATTCTCACACATTAAACACATAGCTGCTATCTACTCAATCTATTACTGTTATGACCAGTAAGAACTAAGATGGCAAATAAATGACAGCAAAAACAAAACTTTCAAAATGACTGTCTTTGTGTCCACATTCACAGGAGAATCCATGTCAGCACCCTGTGTTCTTCCTGAAGGATGCCTCGTTTGTCGACCTGGTGGCTGTGGTGGAGTTTGTGTACAAGGGCGAGGTGAATGTGACACAGGGACAGCTGGCCAGCTTCCTCAAGACTGCCGAGATGCTGCAGGTTCGAGGACTAGCTGGAGATGATTATGTGCAACCAGCAACACCTTCATCACAAGTGCCCACGCAGCAGAAGCAGCACAAGGTAATTGGGAAACAGGTCATCAGGCGCCATGCACGCACATGGTGGTGGACTGTTCTTGAACAGGTTGTGTCTTCAGCTGTTCTTTGACTGTTGCTGTCTGCTGCAGCCACTGCGTGTCATAAATGACCCCATTTTCGCACACATTTAAGGTTTGATGCTGCTTTTTTCAATGCGATTTGATTTACTCCCTAACTAGGTGCCAAAGTAGTAGCAATTTATTTCACCCCACTATGGTTGGCAAAATGTGAATTCAGAAACCAGTTATCATGGAAAAAGTGTTTAGGGATTCTGTTAGCCAATCGGTAGTGCCCAGAGTTGCTGTCAGGTGTGTAGTCTGCGCGATGCGTGCATCGCTGATGTTTGTTCTGTTGCCTCTTCTCGGCTGCAGCCGCCTCGGTCGTCCGCCTCGGCGTCAGGTTCCGCGGCACCGAGTCCGTCGTCGGTCCGCGGGCCGGCGGCGGCGGCAGCTGCGGCCGAGCAGCCGTCCGTGAAGAGGCGGCGCGTCTCGGCCGACGGCTCGTCCGACTCGGGGCCGCTGTCGGCCGACTCGCAGCCGGCCGAGTTCGGCGTCAAGCTGGAGCAGCCGGACGGGGAGGAGCCGGACGCCGGCTTCGGGCCGCCGGCGCCGTCCGGAGGCGGCTACGACATGGCCGGCTACGAGGCCGCCGACGTGGCCGGCTTCCTCAGCTCCGTCGCCGATCAGGGTCAGTGCTGGTGGCGCGAAGTGCGGACCACGACCGGCGTACGATCTATGACCTGGATGTTACACTTATTGTTAACTGCCTATCCACTTATGTGGTCATCGTACACAGTTGGTTAGCTTTTCATTCCTCGTGGCTCCTTAGGCTGGACGTAATTTGCTTCTCGTTGCGTAGTAACCTTTCATATGCAAGGTGTTGTGAGCATCGTCTCTCTGTGTCTGACGTGCACGCGTGTGTTTCGCAGGCGGCGCCGGGGACGTGATACAACACTCGTCGGCAGGACCTTCGGACGAAGGAGCACAACAAGGTAGGCAGACTGCGGAAATAATTTCATTTTGGGTTTCGGGATGCTCGCTCATTCATCAGGTTGTTACTTTTGCGAGAAAGGGCTTTGCGGGACACGGGATGCTCTTTCGACGTGTTATATCAACCACGAAATTGGTGCCTTAGTAGTAAGTACAATTAGTACATTTTATCGACCGCTTCAAGGGATATCTTTATCAAGTATTTCTCCATTGATTTATTTATTCATTCATTTATTTGTACAGCTTTATACTTACTGTACTGGGAGATTGGAGCTGTGTTGGCACATTTGTGTGCCACATGAGGCTCGTGATCCGGAAACCTTTGTCTAAAAATACCAATTCGTGGCTTGGGAGAGCAATATATGGTTGGACTGTTGCTTTTACCGGATATGGCATAAAAAATGAGAAGTAACATATTTGAAATAAAGGTGAACTGATACCACCAAGAGTTAGGTCTCATCCGGACGATTTAGCAATATTAGCTGGGGCGATGCCGATGAATAAACTGCAAATCAATGTCAACTCTCCGTAATGCTGGCTGATGATTGAACATTATTATTTGGCTGTGTTCTGGCTGAAATTCCTGTCATTTGATAGCACATTGTGGAAGGACATTGGTATCGTCTTCTTTAGTTACAGCTTATTTGGAATGGGACTAATTATGCTCGGTTTTTGGCCTATTTATCTGTGCGTCCTCTCCACAGTCCGACACACTTCCTCGTGCGCTCCGATATACCACTCACCAACTGATTGCCCAGTATCTCCGCGTTGATTTAGCTCCTAGTGTGTCGAGACCAACGACACTGGTCAGTAGCCTGTAGGTTGCTGTCCAGTACAATTTCGAAGATGGCCAGTGCCATTTTGTCCAGATGGCTTGGCACGCTAAGCCAGTTAGTTGCCGTTGGAGACCGCCCACGGATGTTGCACGGTCAGGCGGCCACAGTCCTTTCTGTCAAAACCCCTGGAGTTTGTTACGGCTACACTGCCCCGGCCTGACGCGTTTCGCGCCGATGTGCCTTCATGGCATAAAATTGTTCTTGACAGCCTCGACAGATGCTTGATCACGGGAGGCTTTTCTGCTGCGTTGTTGATGTCGTTCTGTTGAACCTGTTCTGTGTAGTAATTCACCGTTGTGATCAGGCCGCGGGGAATCATGTACAGCTCTGATAGTGTTGGCCATTCATGCTTCACTTCAGACCATTACCATCAGCGAGTGACCCGACGTCCTGGAATATTAGTATGTAGTGCTGCTAAGCGTTGATACGTGATGTTTATGGAAGTTTGCTGAGTAAAATATTTCAATAGGAGCCTTGTTGTCGTACAACAAAACTTGCCGGCAGCCTGGGATGAATCAGTTTTTCCTTTCCTCGGCGAGATCTGGCCGTTTGATTTTCTGAGCTCTTATCAGTTTCGGTTTTCAGCGCGATTAGGCGATCGGTTACTTGGTTAACAGCTTGCGAATAAGCGCCTTGCTCTTGCTGTAACTAGGAAAGTTTGCCAGAGCTTCTTCCTTGTGGTAACCAGCCATCCATGCTTGGATGCCACAGACCGACACTATCATCCCAGCAATAGCATCCAGTACCGTTTCAGCGATTATCAAACCAGCCGTCTGTCGTTGCGTCACTAAAGATTACTCGCTCGTTTGCCATTGTTGACACTAGGGCAGTGCCCCGATGTCACTTCTAAGAGCTGACCTCTGTGCTTGCTACGCAGTCGAAATCGGCCGTTCCGTTAGGTGTTTGTGATACCTGTGATTTGAAAAGGTTTGATAAGTGTTGCTCTCAGCGTTCAATATCCCCGTCCTCCGTCTTTTTTCTGCTTTTCTATTACGTCAGTTAAGTTCCCCGAGGACCTCTCCAAGTCAGCTGCTGAGCTACATTGCGGCGAAGGGCTAGCTTAGCTTCGCGCACGCCTAAGAACGGGAAAGGGGTGATCAATACACAGCCACTAAATCAACAGCAGGTCCAGGATTTGAGCGGACCGTGGCCTGCTCAATGCTCATGTAAAGTGTGAATTTTGTATGCGTTCTGCTCTACACGTAGGCAGTTGATCGCTTTAAAGATGTTGCTGTGCCGATGCCGAATGGATGGGCTCATGCTTATATGATCAAATCAGTCGACGGTCAGTTTCCAGTGTCCAAAATATATTCATCTTTGACAGGTAAAAGCCACTAAATGCTATTAAGTGTAGCAGCTCGTCGTGACGATGTAGCCGGCCGACGCGATGGTTGAGACTCGGGTTTGACTGAAGGGTAGTGCAGGTTTCCCTGTGCTGAGGGGTAGGGTTAGAGGAAGAGGAGGAGTCCTGTAGCTGGGGCCTTGGGCGCCATCGTGTGCTGAAGAGAGTACAAATAGAAAATGACTCGTATTACTCGTTTGGAATATTGATTATTTTACTTGCAATTGTCGAAAAGTATGAGCTAAAAATGCGCCCGGATGTTTGATCCTGTTTTAAATGTCGTGGCAAAAACGATAACGCTATGTGCCGACGTTCTTTTGATGAGTATCTGCAAGAATCGTAAGGCCAGAGCGTAAGAACGCTGGCCACGGCCCGGGTTACCCAGATATTGAGTGCATTGCAAGCATTCTTTGTGGACGCTGTATCGTCAGGGAGGCAGCAGCATACTCTGTACATATTCTCAACGAATGAAAAATATCATTATTTAATTTTCCGTCGTCAATTTTAATCAAAAGGGTCTCGAGAGGATCCACAAACCTACTAGCACGAATCATTCATGACGCCTCATACTGAAACACTTGTATGCCTTATCTGGCCGTCTCTCCCTGTGCTTTCACTTCATGGTGAAGTGGGTTCATCGCTAAATTAATTATGTTGGTTATCTTGCATTGTCTTGGAAGTTGTAACGTCATAATACATAACATTGGGAGCTCATGGATAATGATAAATATCGCGAGATGAAAACTCGCTGTGGCAACCGTGGCGGTTGTCCGGTTACAAAGTGCTATAAACTGGTGTTGAGACATCACGCCATGCAGACGGAATCAGCGCTGCGACTCTGTGGCCTGGCCTCTCTGTCGGCGTTCGCTGCCGATCTCGGGGCTGAGCTGCGGCGTTCAGGCCCGGCTCGGCGCCGCCGTCGCCGCCGCTGACGCAGCGCCCCCGGCCCGTGTGTCTGTCGGCAGGCGGCGGCGGCGGCGACGACCGGCGCTGGAGCTGCCCGGTCTGTGGCAGACGCTACCTGCACAGTATCTCGCTGAGCCAGCACATGTCGGTGCACCGCGGCGACACCACCTGTCCCATCTGCGCCAGGGTGTTCTCGCGCGTGGCCAAGCTGAACGACCACCTGGAGCGTGTGCACGGTGTGGCGCGGCGCGGCCGGCGCTCGCGGCCCGGCGCGGTGCCGTCCTCTCCGTGCGCGGCCGGGCCGGCGCCGTGACGGGCCCCTCCCGTGCTGTTTCAGCGGCCGAGCACGTCTGCCACCTGTGCGACAAGCGGTACACCAACCGCTGGTGCTATCGCATGCACATGGACATGCACGCGGGCAACACGCGCTGTCCGCACTGCGCCATGGTGTTCCGGCGCCGCAGCCACCTCAATGTGCACCTGCGAGTGGACCACGGCACCGAGCCGGCGCCGGACCGGCGGCGCCGTCCGCCGCGCCTACCGGCCGATAGCTGAGCCGCCGTCGCCGCCGCGCTGACCGCAGCCCACCTGTCTGTCCACAGCGGCGGCGGCGGCCGGGGCGGCGCTGACGGGCAGCTGGCGATGCGCCCAGTGCAATCGCGTCTATAAACACCTGTTCTCGTACCAGTCGCACCTCAAGGTGCACCGCGGCGCCACCACGTGTCGGCTGTGCGGCCGCGTGTACGCGCGCGTCTCGCTGCTCAACGCTCACATGGAGACCAGTCACGGCATCCAGCGCAGGAGGTACCACGTGCAGCAGCCGCCGGCGGCCGGCGCGTGGCCCGCAGCTCCCGGCCGGCCCGACAAGGTCGACACCGCCGGGGTGACTGACTCTCGACCGTGATGCCACGGATGTGCCATATGGGTGGCATTATTGCGGTCGGATGATGCTCACGCTGTGCTGAGAGCGCCATCCTCTTGGTGTTGGATGGCAAACCTGGGGACCGGCCGCGGCTGGTCCGTATTCCCACTCTGGAGAATACGGACCATATGTCCGTAGTGCGGTCTGCCCGCTACCAACTGTCCCATCGTTGTACGAAATGCATGTTTCGCTGTCGACTGATTGGAATCAGTCAATGACATAATGTCGGTTCTTTAAGTTAATGCAAACACATATTGCATGTATTCATACTCCGAGTCCGCGTTGTGGGATGCTAAGTAATCGTGCCCATGAATGTGTTTTCTCATCCTCAATCCATCTATGCATGGATGTATGTTACAAATTAGTCAGAAAACTGTTCCCACAGTTAATTATAAGGGTAACCAGGATGGTTTAATGTATATTTGAATCTCACGACGTGAACAGGTGTTGTCATTTTTATAATAAAGAATACTTCCGATGCTCATTACGTTTGCAGCACTGGCCTTTGGGTTCATAACTCATGCATAATTAATCTCAAACATTAACCCTATTAGTGGCAGGGGGGGGGGGTTGTTTTTATCCACCCCTCAGGTTTTTCGGGAATATCTCCAAAACCGCTGAAGCTACGATGCTGAAATTTTCTGACTTTTCCTAAAACTAAATTGGGCACATTCCCTGAAAATTTCAAGTTCATAACTTTACCAGGGGCGGCTCCAGAGCACTGGGAATTGGGGGTCCTATTCGTGAAGCGAGTCATTTGGGCGAAGATCACGATGCTGCACCAGTTTTACGAACAGTGAATGAAAGGTATCATGTGATAACATATACAAAGTTATTGTGCATCCTCTTTTGACACGTTTTTGCTATAAAAGGCGGCAGGGGCGGATCCAAGGGGGGGGGGGGTCACATGGGTCATGGCCCCCCCCCCCTTGAGGCCCGGGGGCCCAAAGACCTGCCAGGGGCACCACCGGCCTATCAGGGGTATCACAGTCCTGA